CTCTATGGACGTGGCAAAATTTCCTTCGCATGGGAAACCTGATAAGATAATAAAGATCATTGCGCTTCTTTAATAACTTTCATCAGAATCTGACTTTCCTGGAGGACCTATAAAAATATGTTTTTCGAGAACCGGAAGTTTTCCAAGGAACCAAGCGAAGTTGCCATCAGTTTTTCATCGATATGGTTGTGTTGCCATTTTTTACTTGGTGTCCATTCAATAATGTTGTACATAAATATTACATCGTTTGATTTTGCATTCCGTCCATTTGACCTGAAAATTGTGGAGCACAGCCGAATTTTTGTTTTTGTGATTCCGCGGATCAAGCGAACAGTATGGCTTCTGTTTGTGCCTATTTCAATTTCAGCATCCTAATCTAGCGGCTATTTCAATAAATCGATTATCATACGGAATCTTTTAGCAACGATTACACTTTATTTGCTTCCGTTTGGCTGACTTCTTATTTAGTGACCAAGTCAGGGTAACGAAATCAAAATAAAAGTAATTGAACAGTAATCATTGAACATTTGTGCCGTATTAATTTCGATCAATGTGCTAAACCACCGAACAACAGACCATAGAATGTAGCATTGGGCAAGTAACTTTAAACAAGGGTCAGGTGTTACAGTGGAAAAATGAATCAGCCTCGAATTCTTGAGGAAGAAAGGAAGGAAAGAAATGGGAAAGAGGAAGGAGAGATGAAAGACAGTCTTTAACCGCTGGAATTTTATTGTTCCTCATATTTCCAAGATGGAACCATTCTTGCGGCCATCTTTTCATGAAATTTACTGACAAGCGCTGATCATTTCCATGCCATCAACCATGAGTGCCTTTTTAAGAGCAAAGTCGACAGAAGCTCTGTGACAAGCATAGTGTTTAGTCGTTCCTTTATTTCCACAATATGGCCTTTCTTTCCTCAAAAAGAAGATAGGCGAGAGATCCATCCGGAACTCGAACTCCACGACGTCTCGACTCTGATTCAGAGGTCCTACAGACTGAGCGACTTCGGTCCTGAGGTACCGGGTTTGAGTCCATAGAACAGGCGGTCGTTGTCATAATGGCGAATTTACCTGAGTAAGGAATTCACCCGACATTGCCTTGGCGCAATCTGCTGAGAAACAGGTAGCAGGTCGTTGACTCGTGAACGACAGGAACCGATTGGCAGTCCGTTGTGGTTGCATCAAAATGGGCGAGGATTACCGCTATGCGGGGCGATGAAAGCGCCTATCTTAGCTATGGCCAACACAAGGTGCAACTCTAAAATGCACCAAAAAGTGTATGAAATCCTGGAAGTTCTGTGATGACGTGAGAGGTACAGATATAACCGATAGCATCACACAAGATGCACCATCACCTTAAGTTCTGTTCTACCAAGTATGGATAGGAGACTACGTAACACGTCGCAAAATATGGCTCTGAAAGGGTTGTCTGTTAAAGTTGCTCCTCAACATATCCCCATCTGCAAATGAATAGAACAATGGAGGACATAGAAGCTGCGCCACGCAATTTCGATCAAGAGAGAATGGGTGCATCGATGCGCAAAATCTGATGACTGTAAACTGAAGCGTCATACAAATACCATCCGGCACACGAACCCATATTTTTTGGTCATATGCTAATCTATTTTAGTAGAAGCGACGAAAAAGTCAAACCCCGACGTTGTTATGCCTGTATTTCAATCAAGGGAGCTACGGTAACTTCTAATCGTTTCACTAATATTTATAATCAGGCATCCTGGCTGCAATCAGCTTTCCTTTGAAAGGCCGATGCCCTATATAATTGCGACCATGATGCCTTGTGTTTCTGGTTTGTGATAGTTCTATGTGGTCAGCGCTTTAGCCGCGATGTTGAAATATAGTTCAGTTTAAGACTAAAACTTCTTGCTGTAATGAAATCAATGATGAATAATTTAGGTGATCCGACTTTCCGCAGAGTTTGTATAAGTATGATAATTTCTTTTGCGTATAATTTGGTAGCAGATGATTAATCTTTTCACTCTTTTATAAAATGCTGAAGTGCAGCCGAAAGTAGCAGTGAAGAACGCCTACTCTTCTTCTTAGAAGCCGCCGGTCTTGACGAAAACAAAAAACCTCCCGTAAAAGTTCTCGAAATGGTTAATGACATATTGAGGATATGGGGAGAGGATAACCGCCGCAAATCGATTATGTTGATTATATCTGGCCGCTAGAACATGTTAATGTGTTTGACGTCGCGTTTCGAAAAACATAAAAGACTTAGAAACTCGACGGATGCTTGGAAAGGTGCCAAAGCAAGTATTTGCATTCCACTACAGCTCTAACTCGGTTTCATAAGTGAACTGAGTCATTCATATGCCGTGTTTCTAGGTCATTAGTATTCGTTCATTCTCTATGTCAATTAAATGAAAAAATGCCACAGCGCCTGTCAACACTGGGCCGACTGTTTGTTAACGATATTCAGCTATAGCGTTGGCTGCTCTGAGTCGCTAACCTAATAACCATTCAGAGATATTGCACTACTTGTTCAGTCCGGGCTAACCTTCAGTCGTGCCACAGCTTCTATCAGAAACCACGCCGGCAACGAGGGCAACGTTCAACGAGTCTTCAGTCACGAAAATGTCTGTTTCTTCCGAAAAGGTGATCGGTTGTCTGCCGTTTGAATCCGCCTATGCAATATACAATATGCAATTCAGTAGCTTAAATCATTTTTCAGAGCTGGCACCAATCAATCATTGGCTACACTGCCAGGGCGAAGTGAGGTGTATATGAGAGTGGCAGGAAAAAATACGATGACAAGCGAATATATTAGAGTACAAATAAAAGTCTGTCATGCCGTTACAGAACAGAAGTGGTTGACATGACAAACAGCAAGACACCTTGCAAGAGACTAACCTACCACGATTTGACCGATTAAGCCAATCATACTTGGTTGATCTCTTGAATTGTGGCGCGGAAGATTGAAGAGGTTTGTTGAATCACGGTGGATAAAAACTGTACA